ATATTTTAAATAATTTATGACATTGCTTTTTATTACCTCATTAAATTAAAATGCATAATTTCTTTTTCATATTAATCATTATTTTTTTAAGAATCCGAAATAATGCTATCTCATATAACGACTCAGTTTACGCGCTGCAACCCATTGTCCGTTAATGGCGGACAGACGCAAGTGATGGGAGTTGCACTGCGTAAGAACATTTAACTCTTTTTTTATCAAATTTTCTAATCAAAACAAATCTTACAATAATAAAACTTGGTTGAAAATAAATACAAAATGTTCTATATATCATTCCATTGTAGACAGAGGAGAGAACAAAGCTTAACGTTTCATGGAATTGAAGAAGAACAGGGGAGGAGCCCAACTGATAACCCTAATAGTACATAAACCCATCCTCACTCCATCAACATCAGCCAACTCCACTCCCTACCATCGTTCTCGACCGAAATCCTTCCTCTTTCGCGAAAATGTCAGCGCAGCCTGCTCCGAACCCTCGTCCCCCAAGGTGAATTGTGCGGGGAGGGTTAAGGAGCGGGGCGTGGTGAAGGCGGCTGCAGAATGTAAAGGGGAGAAGAAGAGAAAGCTGGTGAGATCGTTGACAAGCTCGCTGCGAGGTTCACGGCTCGTCGGCGGTGGAATCTGGTGTTGGCAGTCGCCGCGGGAGCTGGTTATCGGAGAGGAGGAGCAGGAGGAGGAGGAGAAGGAGGGAGGAGGAGGTGAGGCAGGGGATTGTGATTTGGCGCGGTGGTTTATGATGGCGGAGTTGGCCGGAAAGGGAGGGGTGGAGGGGGAGATGAGAAAAGGTTCGGTTTTGGTGCCGCTAAATGCGCTGCAGCTGATGAAGCAGAGGTCGGCTCCGGCGAGGGTGGGGGAAGTGGTCGGAGATCGTAAAAGAAATTCCTTTTGAATGAATTCCAATCGTCGCACAAAACCTATTGGTATTCATTTATGTACCTCGGATCAAAATTTTAATTTTTACTAACAGAGCACTAAATTCACACTTTTTAACGGTGTGAAATTCATATTTTTATGTTGCGTTTGTAAAAATCAAAGTTTTGGTATGATATGTGAATGAATAAGAGACGTGGATGCTGTGTATGTAAAATTCCCATTTCGTTTATTAGTATCTTTGGTTCATAAAATTGGTGTCAGCTAAAAGAATTTGATGAGTCAATGAAGGTATCAATAATAAGTATCTATAAAAATCTCTCCCTCTAACTCAAACTAATGAGTATGTGGCATTAACTCTTCTTGGGACATTTAATTAATGAAATTTCAGTTTTCATGCTGAGGTTATTGTAAGTAACAATTATTGAAAACTCTCATGAGGGACATGATTTTCCTACATAACATATGCTTCTGCACCTATGATTATTACAAAATCTCATAGTCACAAGATAATAAATTGATAAAGTGTTTAATTTGCGTTGAGAGATCCTTGAGTGAGTTTGTATCACTTGTCTTCCAAACTAGTGAGTAAAATCCTTCCACTTTTCAATGATGTTAACTTAGATTAATATAGCAAAATCACTCATCAAACCACTCAGGCTCTTACATCTTTGAGCATTATATATTTCATTACTGACATTTTTTATAGCTTTTACCACTACAGGAAAAAAAAAGCTAAAACCAACGGCCACAATTTGCGTCGGAAAAAATATTTTATTTTCCGAAAGTTTTGCAATGGTCTATGATGAGGGTTATTTGTGACGACATAATTACAAGACAAGTTGTCCCTTATCAATAATAAAATTTTCCGATGGTTTTAATTAGTACTGACACATTAAATAATCAATTATAAGTAAATATTAACCGACGACCATATTTCGTTGGTTATCTTCGAACCTGTCATCTGGTAGAGTATTAACCGAAGCGTTTATTTAATAATTAACAGAAATTCTCGTTTGTAATAATGTTAACAATCGACGAATTTAAAATCGTTATAAGTTATCTGAAATAATTCATTATACTGCCAAAATCGTGGCCCTCCCCCTCTTTCTCTAATACTCTCTCCCCAAAGCCGTCTCCTCCCTAAAACCCTCAAATCTCCCTCCACCCCCTCTCTGTTTCGTCCAAAACCATCGCATTCGTCATCGAACCCTTGCGAGACAGTCAAAATAGGAGCTAGTTGGGAACACAACGACGGGAACGCAGCTTACAGTGATCGGAAAGTCCCATTTTCTCCTCCATCCGCTCCTATCCTATCCGAGATGATCAAGGAAGGTAACTGCTCCTTTTCATTTTCGTTTTTTTTTTCATTTCTTTGGAGGATGCGTTTAGGGTTTAGGGTTTAGGTACTAGAAAGAGATTTGACCAAATATTTTCCTATATATTTTCCTATGACCAAATATTTTCCTATTTTAGTTGGATTACATCAGGGATCGGCTTTAAGCCCATATATTTTTGTTTTAGTAATGGATGCTTTTACTAGATATTTACAGGAGGATGCACCTTGGTGTATGCTTTTTGCCGGTGATATATTTATCGTGGATAAGTCTATAGAAAGAGTCTAAGGGCCTTCATTTGAATTGTTCTAGAACTTAATACATGAAATGTAATTTTAGTGGTAATAGCTTAAGTGGCAGAGTTGCAACTATAGGTGATCAAATCATTAAAATGTGTGAACGTCTTAGATATTTCGGGTAATTTGTTCAAAGTGATGGTGATATAGATGGGGATGTAATTAGTAGATTTCAAGTTAGTTGGTTGAAGTGGAGGAATGCATCTGGCCTATTGTGTGATAGAAAAAACCACTTAGACTTAAAGGAAAATTTTATAAGATGATGGTGAGATCCTCAATATTCTATGACGTTGAATGTTGGCCTTTAAAAAAGAAGCATAAAATAAATTTAAGTGTTTGAGATCGTTTGTTATTTGCGTTAACCAAGATGTATGCTAAATCCTGCCAAATGACAAAAAACGACTGCATAAATCCTTCCCTCCATTTTTCTTTTATTTATGTATATGATTTACATGTGAATTAGTTTTGTTACTTTGTTGTGTTATGTTTTGATTGCACTGTTACTCTTGTTGGTGTGTAGATTGTAGCGTTGAAAGAGGGCTTTTAATTTTTTTTTGATGGTACGAGTTTTCGATGGCTTTTCAACGATTTTACGACCACTTGATTATATGCTTAAGGTTTTCCAACGGTATACTGAACCATCAACGTTTGGACAAATTGTTGCACTTTTACTATGAACAAACCCAGTGATAAATTTTCACGACTAATTGATGGTTGAGCGGCATTTTACCGACGAAACTGCGACACTTTTCTGACGACAGTGCAATACTTTTCCTACAGATACTTGTGTCACTTATATAACTGACGGTTAAACTACGATTAAATCTGCCGTTAATTTCATTATTGACAAGCATTTTTGCTACGTCAACTTTGTTGTTGCTAAACCGTCGATAAATATATTTCCTACGGCTTATCTATTATTCCAGACTGTATTTGACTGTCAGTAATAAACTAAATTCCTTTAGTGTACTCTTCATAAAGTTTCGTAGAATATAGATTCTTCTCATATCACTCCTTTATAAACCACTAAATAATGAAATTATGTAGACCTAATAACTTTTTTGCAATATCAAATTAGGTAAATGTTGACTATTTACATATGTATAAAGTATATTTTGCTCCAACCAATGATGTTATCATATTATATATGTCATCAACTTCACGATGTCAAAACCTCCAACCATGAATGTAGCTCATTTCCTACACAAGTGCAACGGCTAGAACATGGCTTTTAAATGAAAAATATCTAAAAAATATAATACGTGTAACTTGAGCAAGTTGAGTCACAAATCCATTGATTTTTACACCTATCTCCATTATTCACCTAAAGAGCATCACCAATATTAAAATATGGCCAATCTAAAACTCCAATCCTCATCTTCTAACTTCTCCTCATTGTGGTTTTTATTTTCACACTACTTTTCTCACATATCACAACAATCTCTCTTAATATTTTTTTTTTCTTATAGTAGAGCTAGTAATGTCCTTGATGATACTAGGAGACCTGCTCCTTTCATATGCTTCTAATAAAGTTTTTCATAGAAGCATTTTTGGATCACTAATAAGTAGAATAACTTGTATCAAAACCATCTTGTAAGATTGCTATAAATTCTCTTCAACGAAAAACATTTTAATCACTATGAGTCTTTTTATTCATTGGTGTCTTACCTTCACTCTAGAGTTTCAATAAGTATTTATTATACCAGAATACAAACATCTTAATTTTTCAGAGCTTTAAAATTCTCGAGTAATTAAACTTCTTAACCTCAAACTTGAGGGCTATCATGATTCTTATGATTGACCACTTTGACACACTGATTGTTCATAAAAAAGAATATGCCTTACCTATAAGCTATGAAAGCACCAACTTATAAATAGGAATGAGCCAAAAAATAATTATAAGAGATATCAAACATCATAAAAAAAATATCAAAGTCTATGTCAGCAAACATAAAATAAGACTTTATTAAAAAAAAAAAGATATGATTGGTTCTGCTAACTAAGAAATTCTAATTATAATGTGCAATCAAATGATACTCATACATCTTTTCATCTTTCCCTTCTCAATTTCTTCTCTGCTCCTTTAAAAAAAGAATCAAGATTATTTTATGCTTTCATGCTAATTAAGTTGTCACTAATCAACTTATATAGCCACTAACATAAACTGAATCTTGGTAATTTATGCAACATCACCTGATCAATTTTAAAATTGCAAATAAGAAAAAAAAAATACCGTACAAATGATTCATGCATGGAAATTGAGTTGATACTCAATAAATCATATAATCTATTTTTAAATCATCGTACAAAAACTTGATAATTACTTTAACATATGATTCATACATGAATATTAATCCAATACAATGACAACTGATGTGATACATTGATAATGACTCATGGCATAGAAATTATAGTAATTCATGGTTAACCATAAATGAGATATTGTTTATATGTCAAATGAAATAATGTATTACCGTGTGTGGTGAAAGCTATCAACTATATATGCTCAAGGAAGGAAGCTTAAGCACTCTCCTCACCAATAATGGCTACAAGGAAGTCTTCATAGTCTCCAATGGTATCCTTTTTTATGGCATGAACAAGAGGCACACCATTCTTCTTGAAATATAGCTCCTTGATTGATTTCATGTCAACCTCAACACGTGTGGCGATGACACGTGTAACTGCTCCCTCTTCTGTTCCCATCTTATTGATAGCTAGCCTAATTGTTTTCTCGAAATATTTCTCTTGGCAAGTAATGCATTTTGTAATAGCCCTTAACGCAGAGAGGAGTTCATCCTTTGGATCTGATTTCAAGTCCTAAAGAAAAGGAAAGAAAATTGAGTCTTGATACGCTAACATAAATATGATCAAAATAATTGCATGGTCATTACATTTCTCTGATAGTAAGTATAAAATATAATAGACATAAATCTATCCAAAGAGTAAGTAACATTTTTTTTTTTTGAAATTTCTAGGTTACACAAGGTCGGTTGGATAAGACCATGATTTTGAAAACTACAGTTTTTGCTTTAACAATATTTTTAAGAAATTATTACAAGTTATTACTAGGTGCAAAGAGTAACATTCCAGTCTTAATTATTTTAGGAGATTTTAGACATGCATGACTGATAGAATAACCAAACTTTGGTTCGATCACCAAAGATGAGCAACCTAAGGATGACTGTTTGAAGGAATGGGCACTTCATGAGCAAGCAAATGCATCGAGCCAAATTAAAGATTTTCATCAGTAAACTACAAAAATAGAAAAGAACAGGGTCGAAGATATCATGCTTAACAATACAAATATAAAATTTTATAAGTGAAATAAATAAAAACTTGATAAAATTTGCATGATATAATTGACATCTCATAAAGAATATATAAAGAATAAAACTTCATAAAACTTGGTCAAACTAGTTAGATAAGACTCCTTATAAAGAAAAAATTTTATAATCATATCAAAATTTAATTATTCATCATGTGTTTAATTATAAAATAATTTTGTATACTTGAAGAACTTATTTCAAAAGTTTCTATAGTTAATTGGTGAAAATTAGTTATTTGGCATAAAAAATTTTCTAAAAAAGAAAATGTAGTAAATCATCACCATTGGAAGTGAAAAAAGAATCGTGTTCCTAATAGATCAAGTATTTCATCTGAGCTATTATTGTATGCCCTTGCAGTGATAATGTTCTTCACTTAGTTTATCGAACATAACCTAAATCCTCAATTCTCATAACGAGGGTGTGATGGATTGAATAAGTTTATTTATTCCTTGATGCGTTTGTCAATTATGGGCCTTAGAGGCTTTCATGATAACAACACTAAAGAACAAGTGACTATAGTTTCTTATTTCATGACATTTGCTGGTTATTATATGCTAGAAAAGTTTTTATGGGAGTTTGTGAGAGTTTATAATCTTAACATTGCTTATAATTAAATAGACACGCATGAAAGCATCTTTTTAGAAGCTCAATAGTTCTTATGTGAAAACCCTAAAAAGTTAAAAAAAGAGTTGTGGGGTTTAACACTGCTGAAACATTCCATAATGGAATGTGAATGTTAGAAAAATTGGCCCTTTCTACTATTTAGCGAAGGTGAGATTATGAAGTTTGAAGAAATAGCTTGGCCTCTCATAGAAGTAGTAAACGAATGTTGGAGATACAATGATGGGTGATGTACCTTTGTTTCAATTGTTAAAAGGCAATTGCAAGCCAGTAACATCCTTGGAGCAATGATAGACATTCATACGTGTTGGTTGAGGTTGAGCAACCAATAGTGATCATCGATTGGGGAACATTGAAGTAGATGAATGGGCAGAGCTTTAAAATTATTCAAATCTAAAAAATCTCATTTCTTAGGTCCTTTATGGAATGGAGGTTTATTTATAAACTTTTGGTGGAGCATTTTGATATTTTTGCCCAAATCCTAATCATTTCATTGAATAACTTAGAATAATCCCACTCATTCAATTGATTTTTTTTTTTTTAGTAGAAATTAAGCTCCTTAATGATGATGATGGACTAGTTCAAATTTTTATTATTTAGGTACATTTTTTTAAGTATAAATGTACTTATGAAAAAGAAGTTCAAATGGTTGTCAATTTAACTCTAAACATATTACAATATTGTCGTCAAAAAACATGATTGATCAAATAATTTGTTTAATGATATATTAATTTAAACATAAGAAAATATTTGAGTCCAAGAAAAAGAGCCTTGAAAAATATGTAGCATGAAATAACAGTTTTAAGAAAGTACTAGGCGTGGTTACTCTTTAAACTAACATCAATGTGGTACTCCCCTAGAGGCTATTGAGCAAATAGATCATAAGTTAATTATTCATTGTGCTATGTTATGAAGCTAATTTTTACTATGTGAAAAATATATGCTACCAAAATTGGTTGTGGGCTGACCTACGTACAGTTCATTTTATTTTATTTTTTTTATCTTTAAAATTTGGAATGTAGAAGCATAATTTTTAAAAGAATTTATGGTGCACCGACACCTGAGATATAAATAGGGTTCTCTACTAATAGACTTAAACCAAGTCAATTCTCCTTGTTCGTTCTTTCACACAATCCTAAAATTGGCATATCATTTAGAGTAAATATAATCAAATAAATTCATGACGAAACCTTGTAAAATTACTTGCCAAAAAAAGACACAAATATAAATGGCCAAGCACCAAGCTCACATTATGCTCTTTTTTATTTTTCATTTATAATAGTTTTGAATTTTTAAAACTAAATAAATACAATTTATTTAATAAAATAGTTTAAAAACTTATTAAATTTTTTGAAAATTTCAAAAAAAAAAATCTAAAATATTTTAGAAGTTTTATCAGCCACTCTCTCTCTCTCTCTCTGACCATAAAGATCCTTTTGGAGATAAGGGAAAACTCATGGTTATCTAGTATAATCTTTTGCTCTCGTCTACAAAGGTATGTAACTGTCCAACCAAAAGGTATAATAGTGAGTGGTGGTTACGGTTAACCATTCTTACATCTTGGCTCTATTCTTTCTCTTTAAAGATGTTGTTTGGCTTTGTTGCATGAATCTAAATCAAAATATGAGAAATTTTTTGTCTCATTTTGAAGCTCTAATCTTTTTTGGTTTGGCAGCTAATGCAGTGGAATGTCATTAGTAGGGGTGTAAACGAACCGAACACGAACGAATAAAGCTTGTGTTCGTGTTCCTTGCGTTTAAAATTTAGTTTGTTTGAAATAAGCTCGTGTTCGTTTCTTAACGAACGAGCCGAACACGAACCGAGCACGAGCTGTTCGCGAACGACGAGCCAGTTTGACATCCCTAATATTAATATATAAAAATAATATTATATATTAATTATATAACTTATATTATATAAATATACAATATCTATATTAGTATATTACTACTATAGTATATTAATATATTATTATTATTATTTTATTATATATTATAATTTATAAAATTTAATGTTTTAAAATATAAGAATTTTTTTATATATAATTATTTTAAATTATTTTATATTTCAAACAATAACGATTCGAACACGAACGAACGCATCACTGTTCGTGTTTGGTTCGTTTAACTAACCGAACGAAAAAAATTTGTTCGCGTTTGTCTTGTTTACTTATCGAACGAATCGAATACGAACTCATTGACGAGCCGAACACGAACTGTTCGTGAACAACGAGCTTTTTTGACAGCCCTGGTCATTAGATAGATGATGCTGAGATGAAAAAAAAAGGGCCCACCTAAAATGTTCACAACTCATGTGAAATCTTCATTTTTTCCTACATTTATAGATTTTGAATAAGCATTATCATTTGTTCTCCTTTATTCTTATCATTTGCATGTTTATGCTTCTTCCAAAAAAGATTTAACATTGGATTAAATCATTTTAACATTTAAATTTTTTTTATTATTTTTGAATGTCTCAATGTTGTAATTTTGATAATTACTAGATTATTATTTTTGTGATCAATCCAGCTATCAAAAAGTTTCAAAGGATTTTTAAAATGTTTATGACAATAAATTTTATAATTAGTTTTTTTAGCAAAAATAGCATCATTTTATGATAATCGAGCGACACATCCTAAAAATTATAATAACATAATCTTAAAATTTTCCCCAATAAAATGATCTTTAGCACAAAAAATATTATAAAGATGGTACATGATGTCATCATCACCTATTTAAAACTTTAAAATTGTTTGAGAACTAGTTTTAAGAAATGAAAATTCAGCCACAAAATTTTAAAAAATTATAAAAAAAAAAGACAATATCTTGTCAAAAAATTTTCGATAGAAGCATACATATGCAAGTAATCATATTGTAAAGAAATTCAGATAAGACAAGAATAACAAAAAAAATTAATAATAATAATAAGTAAAGACTATTAAAAATTTACCAAAATCATTAAGAAAAATAATGAAATATTTATTGGTTTGATCAAAATGCCTGATCATGATAAAGAGAGGAGATTTTTAGCCCATTTTAAACTCTAAATTTCTTCTCAATAGGATAGAGTTAATAATCCCCAAACATAATGAAAATCATGTGAAGGGTGTGGGGACTGATACAATAGTATTTCATTGGCGAGATGTTGCAGAGATGATTTCAAAGGAGAACACACTAAATGATGACTAATCAAGAACTTATAAATACGGCTTTACTCCACTCATGAAAAAAGTGGACTAAAGAGAATTTTTTTAATAGAAGAATCATTTTGTTTTTTTCATTGTTCAATGCCAATAATTTTATAGAACAATCTCCACCGCTTACTATTGATCAACAATAATTACCGTAAATGTCCACCACTAAATAATTGACGTCACCTATCTATCATCTCCTTTAGACAACCAATGCAAAATCCTATAGTAACTAATCACCATCCATTATAATTAATACTAATGACCATCATCATCCGACACTTCAGTAGTCTCCACGTTTCATATGGATAATTTGAGTTGGCTCAAGCCCCATGTTTTTTTTTTTTTTTAAGGTTTTCATGTGAAAATTCTTGTGCCTATGCTGAGTTATTTTATCTATGATCATACAAAATTTTTTTGACGCTGGTACTATAAACACCCACATTCTATAGTTACAATTTTTTAGAAATGTAACAATAGTAATGAAAAGCTTTCATTTGATAGAGAGTGATAGAAAATGTGAAGAACTCTAATATAAGGGGAAGTAATTAAGAATTTTGCATGGAATGAAGAATTGTCACATTGGCAGTAAAATAAGATTAGGGTTCTAGAAATATTAAATAGTGATACTTAGTTCAAGTTTATGAATGGAAAGTATCCACCTTCTAATACATTGAGCTCCTCTTAGGCTTCAATATTCCACCCTCCATTAAGTTTGGCAAGTAACAAGATAAGTTAACCGGCTTTTTAATTAGCCAAGTCAATGCCAATGCTGAACTTATTTCAAGATAATAGTATCACTAGGGAGTACATGAGCTAGGTTGGCTTATGATCTAACTCGATCTCAACTAGCTAATGAGCTCGCAGGTCATGCTTATTGTGCCACCAACTTGAACTCAAGTGCAAATTTGGGTGCATATGTTACATGAGCTTGAGTGTAAGCTTTTCCATAGTTGTCTCATAAGCTCACAAATCAATTCGTATATGCAACTATTGGTCATGTGAATGTCCTTCGACGAGCTCCCTACAGTGCATTGTACAACTTTTAGCTCGACCTTACAAGCTGGCTCGTGAGTTCAATATTATTGTTGTAAGCCAAGCTCATGCTCACCATTTGAGCTCGATGCAAGCACGAGTTCGTGATTTCATGATAGGCAATTCAATTTCTAGTTATGCCTAACTCGAGTTTCTCCTGACTCATATACACCCTAGATATGAATAAAAAAATAACTCTCCATTTAATGCGTTAATCTTATGCGTTAAATTCTTTTCAGCCACAATCATTCAATCAAACTTAATTACAACACAATGTTACCTAAAGCTAAAGAAAAAATGGTTACTACATTAAACAATTCAAAACAGGATTTAAACTAACAAGCTCGTGCTGGTGAAGCTTATTATTATTGTTATTATTGAAAAGATGGACTGCGACTGATAATGTGCTATTCGAGGCGAGTCTCGAACCCGATACACCGAAGGACTTACAACACCATTGCCAACCAAAATGCCAACAATTTCGCACACTCGCTGGGGAAGCTTTTGTGCCAACCGCAATACGAAAATTACTATATAAGCTCGCGCAGAGAACAAGAGGGTCTCGATAAATGAAAGATACCTTGTTAATAGAATGGCCAAACTCATTGTAGTAAGCATTGAAAGTTGCTTCGAGTTGTGCTTTGCTCCTGGTAGTAAGAACCCTGATTACCTCCTCATCTGCATAAGCTTTACCTCCAATCTTATCATGCAGCTGCTTCGCCTCTGATTTTGCCAATGAAAGGTTCACTTCGGGACCCCCGTAACGGTAAGCAGTCAAAAGCGGCAATAAGAGCTGAACACAAAGTGCAATTGATGTCTCAGCCAACATTATAACAAAGCTAGGAAAAACAAATTTTCAAATAAATAATTTTTTTTATAACACTTAAATTGCTGATAAAAAATAAATAAATTTCATGCCTCCCAATGCCTGTGGTCTCTTGATCTTTCGTTTTATGAATTAATCAGTGTTAAAAAACTTTAATAAAATTTAAAATATGCATAATAAACTAATTATTGATAATGAGTCAGTGATTAATTACTGTAAAAAGCTTTCTCTTTGCAAAGGTATATTATTTTAGGGATATTTACCTAAGTGCCACCCAATTCCTATATCTTCACGTTTCAGGAAAAAAATTTACATACGTCTGCGTCCGGAAGATAGACGTGATATAATTGCGAAAAAAAAAATACCTTCCCGGTGTATTGCATCCGTCGTCCTCATATAGTTCACGTCCAGATGATGTAAGGAAAGTTTTCTCACATGGCAGACACCTAAACTTTAATTTTTATGTAATTTATGACATTTATATATGTAAATAAATTTTATTTAAATTATATTAAAATAAATTTAATATTTATTATATCGTCCTATTAAGTTGTCGTTTTTACTCTTATTTTCACAAGAATGTGAGAAAAATTTTCATACGGAGTCTAGACGCGGCTCTAGGTGCGGACTCCAGTAATATGTCATCATATGTGCTACATCGCGGAGGTTATTGAAGTAAAATAACGGAGATTATTAGAGGGTTATTGTGGGGGTTAATGCAAAGGGTTATTGAAGTGAAACCGTTGAGATTATTGAGAGTTATTGCAGGAGTTATTGAATAGAGTTATTGAAGTGGAGCAGCGGAGGTTATTGGAGGGTTATTATGGGGGTTATTACAAGTGATTATTGGAGTGAAACCACGAAGTTTATTGAGAGATTATTGAGGGTTGTTGAGAAGTTATTGCGACATTATTGGAGTTAGTGCCCCAATAATGCTCTAATAACCCTCCAATAATCCTCAAAATAACATCCAAGATTTTACCTTAAAAAACTTCGCGTCTCTATTTTAATAATTTTTCTAGGTGACCTCCATGTAACACACATGACCACATTACACAGAACTACGTCCGGATTCCGTATAAAAAATTTTCTTAAAGAATGTTAGTACATACTTCACATACAATAATGTTATATATTATTGTAAAAGAATGTATAACATGTGCAACTGAAGTTACCTTCCTGAAATCTCCCTTCGCATTTGCAGCGACATCCTCCTCAATCGATCTCTTATAAAGAGCATGATACGCCCTCCTCACTTCAAGTATCTCCTCGGAGCTCCGCGCACAGGCGATCTCAATCAGGGCACGATCTCCAGGCCTCCACCTTTTAACCGACTCAAAGGCTAGCACGGCGTCCCTTTCTACTGGATCAAGAACCCACAGACGCACTACTTCCTGCAACAATGAGAACTTCCCCTCACATCGCCGATCATCGACACCCATAGGTGAATTTTGTTCCAACAAAAATTAGGGTTCGTTAGAGATATCGCACCTCGAAATCGTTCGTTAGCTCTTTGCCTAGGGCTTTCAAGATATCCTCTCCGAAGGCGTTGGAATACGCCTGCCGAATCTGGCGGCGCTGGTCAGCGGAGCGATGAGCGAGGATGGAAATGATCAGCCCCTCGTTTGTACCCCATCCTGCGGGAGAGTTCAGCTGCACCGTCGATCTAATCATGAAAACTAATCTAAAGATTCGGGACAAGGGGGAACTCACCTTCAAAGGCTTTGCGGAGTTGCTCGGCATCCTCAGACGCTGGGGGGACGCATTCGGGGACTGAAAGAGTTGACATCTGGGCGAATGGAGCAGAGAAAGAGAAATGCAATTGAAGGATGGAGGGCTGAGCTGAATGCAGAGAGAAAGGGGAACTGATTTTAAAGGAAAGTGAGGAGGTAACTGAACTTCGCCCAGTGTTTCCTTTTTCTGTTTTAATGGAGTTAATCTCGTGGGCAATTTACCCGTTTATTGCTTTTTGAGGTCTTGCTGGTAGTGTGCAGGGAGAGATTGGAGGAGGAGATGCAATCGGGTGTGTTAATTTGTTATTCGGCGTTTTTGTTTAAAGAATTACAAGTTCTTGGATCTGTAGGAGCTAAACGCACTCCGCGTCGTCGCGAACGGATTGCCGTGGTTTGGCAGGTGGGTGTGGGTGGAGGGAAAACTAGCATACTGGATGATATACGAATACGAAAAATAGAAGAGCATTTACATACATTCCACCAAATTGCTATGTGATAATCCTTTTAGGATGAAAAATAGAGTCCTGTATCGTGAGGTAAAGACCTTGTTTTTATGAAAAAGAGGTAGAATAAAGATGGTCCAGAGATTATGTATTGAACTTGAACTTTCAATAAACCCGCGGTGGAGGTTTCCTAGATTATGGTATTTAGAGAGAGAGAGACTCTAGGAAAAGATCAAGTATCCTCCTCTCATTTTGATTTCTTTTTTATTTAGAAAGAAAAAATTAATAGAAAAACATTTAATACAATACGACTCCCATATATGATGTTTTGTTGAAAAGATTGAGAAGTGGATGTTAGACGACACTTTTAAAGAATGATGAAATTACATATTTGCTAGTAATTGCTAGTAATGATGAACATCTATAACAGTTATCACTCCCTACGGAATAGATGAAATTATGCCACTTCAGTAGGTTAGTTCAGTTCAACCATTCAACGTATTAGTTTCCATTATTAGAATATCAATAGAAAGCCTGTATTTAGGTATATAATCATATTTTTATATATATTTAGTTCCTCAGTTCTCTTGATTATTCGATCAGGTTCTGAGAAGAACGAAAGAATGAGAATCTTTTGACTCTTTATACCTGTGAGGGCCCCTGACTTCCATTTAGCCTAATGACACGGAATAGTGATTTTCGAGTCAAGAATTCAGTATTCTTCAAGAATGGACCTTTCTGACACATGGGCACGTCAGCTTTTCCTGTGAGAAAAAAATTGTTCCTACTCATCAATAAACTAAGATTGACCTTCCCATGGGGCACTTTGTACTTCCCTTGTAAGGAGTGGTCTCTTGAGTTATTCTAGTGAGAGAGATCCGCTTCATCCTAAGTTGCCTTAGCTCTCTTACAAGAAAATGTCATTTCAATTATTTTGTTCAGCCGGTTGAGATCCATTAAATACAAAACTCATGACCGAAGAGATTCTGCCGGGTTGATTCAATTGAAGAAGTTGAGTAAGCTCGGTGGAAGAAACTCGCTTGAAGATTCAAGTATAGCAAACTATGCCAGAGGAACTCATGTGAAAACTGAGGAGCTTCGGAAGTACTTATGAGATTCTTCAGGGAGGCAAGAAGCTCTATAGCTTGTCGCTTCTAAAGGTACGACTAATGAGTACTATCATTATAGTCAAAATTATATCATTGAATGCATGATCGACGGGCTCGACTCATGAGGCCTATTAAGTATTTGGGTTATCATGTTGCTTAAAGAAACTCATTTTTGGATATACACTATCATAATAAGGCAACTTACTTTATAGAGTTGAGTGTAACCTTCATACAACTTCTTATTTGAACAATAACCATACCTAACATCAATACATTGTATATGACCAATGCTCTTGGTTTCAAGACACTCAAGTGGGTTAGCAAAATATTTCTAATGATAGAAGCAACTTAAATCTTTATTTTTGAGGGTTACCAAGGATTGTCACCTTAATTTGATAAATAAGTTAAGCTTATTAGCTACTTTTGGCACAAATTTAGAAGTGTTCCCAAATAGACTTTAATTAAATTTGGCCTATCATCTACAAAACAATGGACGAAACAAACTCGTTAATTATACACTAAAAAATATGATGAGGTGGTCAGCTCAAGATAACCCAAAGTAGTGGGATGAGTTTTTAGGATAAGTAGAATTTGCCTACAATTTAATGCTAATTCTTTCTACCAGAAGGTGCTTGTCCATTCATTCTCCCAAACCACATAGTTGTTCTTGTTTAATGCCAAAATACATGCTTTGGTACGACGGTAGGACTAGTAAAAACACTACCCAAAATTTTCAAAATACTCAAATACTAAATGCAATTGCAATGCAGACACTGACAAACAAAAGTAAGCATTGAAAAAAGACAACTCAGTCATGGTAAAACTTCGCAAAGAACAATTTGCGATCGGAACTTATTTCAAATTAAGTCTACAAAAACTTGGACCTACATAGTGAAAGCGAATCAACAATAGTGCCTATTTGAAGACATGATCAACTTACTACTTGGCATACATCCCCAACCTTCAATATATTAGATTTATATGTTTATCAACCACCTGACGTCCCAGTTAATCATTCTTGTCATTCGTGTGTTCTTGTGATGTCAGACACTACTGATGTGGAACATCTTAACTATTTTTTACGATAGCATATAATACCATCATCTCCTTTTTCTATTTGAATATATTTTTTTTAAAATTAAAATAATGATATTCTTTTGTGTGATATGAAATATTTTAATGATACAAATGTAAAGGATAAAGTTCATTTGTTAGATAAGTAAATGCATAGGAATTGAGTGGCTTGCATGTTTAAAAATAAATGTATTCTACCTTGAATTATAAAAAGTTATACAACTGATTGGATCATATAATATGTGAATATTTGAAATATTTTTTAGCATGTGTTGTGTTTTAGATTATCATTTCTATTTTATTTGAGAAATTATTTTTTTTATTCTTTAGAAATTTTTATTATGAAAATATTTTTTATAATTAAATATTTTATAATATAGCAATTATAAAAAAATAATGTCTAATTTTTAGAAATAATTAAATAGATTAAAAATTTTTCTTAGCTTTCTAGAAATTTATTTTCTCCATTATAATTTTACAATCACGTGCTAAGTTGGGAGACTTGGAGCCTTAATTTTCTCGTGTTCAGCTCCTCGTGTGAAGAGAAGCAACAAAAGAGGAGCAAAGGAAAGAGGAGATGAGCGTCGAATCCTCTGCTCTTCTTACAATGCCCATCTTTACTTCCTCGGGAACCTTAAGGCTCTTCCCGAGCTCCCGCCCAGTTCAATTCTTTCCTGTCAAGGCATCCGCGGCCTCCTCCTTCGCCGGTTCTTTCCACCACAGAGTATCAGATTCGACTTCGATCTCTTCCTCTACCTGGCTTTCATCTCTCAAAATGTCTTCGCCCCGCCTCCTGGCGAGTATTTCGAGCTCTTCATCCTTATACACCTCTGGCGGCGGCGGCGGAGTTGGACTTACGGGAGGCTCTGGCGGCGGAGGAAGTGATGGCGGTTCAAGTGGAAGGGTTGCAGGGACGGGACCATTCGTAGGGGAGACGGAAGAGGAGGCTCTAGGATCGGAGTTGATATTTCTTAACGTAGGAGTAAGTTATAAACACCTGTGTTCCCCCCAAAAAAGTCATAATCACTTGGATTTCTTGAAGAAAATGTGTTTGCTTTGCTTACAATTTTGTTTTATTTTGTTCATAATTAGGGAATGACTTGCGGAGGTTGTGCTGCAAGTGTGAAGCGTATATTGGAAAACCAAGTAAGGATTGATTTCGCCTTTTTAGGGGGTTGGGGAATGTTTGGAGATGTTCATTTTACTCTTTTGCTTTACTTTGTATTTTACTCGTTAGCTCGATAGTAATCTTTCGTTGGCTTGACCTAACTTGATTTCCAGTTTCTACTGAGATGAAGTTTGTATATCCATCAATTTGTGTTGTGAAAACCGACGATAATAAAACTAAAAATTGGAATGAGAAAAAAATGCACGCATAAAAAAAATCAGAGCGACACACTAATTTACGTGGTTCGGCAAATTTGACTACATTCACGGAACTACAGAGGATTTTTTTTCTTCGAGAAATTATACCATCGAGCACCTCGACGTTTACAAGAAAATATCTATTTTCTGCTCTCCATTCCTCTCTCCCTCTCTTCTCTCTTAAATAACTTGGTTTGGGCTTATTTATGACAAGTCATAAGAGGTTATTTATAGAAAACAGGAGAGCGGTAGGTGTGATGTAGTAGGTGAATGATATGTGAGATTCTTAATTATGAAGCTAATTAAATTGCGGTGGACCGGGTCTCCACATTACATAACAATTCTCCCACTTGGAGACTAGGACACTGACTGCATCACCTACTGGCTGCATTATTTACTAGTTGTACCAATTTTTTTCTCAAACATGATATCATCCACATCTGCAACTCAAAACCTCTGTCTTCATGCCTGAAGACCAGCTGAAGTCAAGCACAACTTCAGTTTCTCACGAGTAATACCCTCAGTTGACATATCACCGTCAACGTAGTCTTGTACCACCAAGCTCTTTCATGGGTTACTCATGTATCTGCTTACAACTTCCACTGCCTGAGCAATATCCTGCCCCTGCTGAAAACTCTTTTCAACAAATCCAGTTTTGTACCTCTTACTGTCATCAATCACAGTCTTCACCTGACACACCCACTTGTTGTGCAATGTCTTCTTCCCTGATGTAAGTTCTGTCAGCTCCCAAGTCTGATTCCCTGACGGGGAATCCGTCTCCTCCTCCTTGGTCAGCTCCTACTTGCTCGAATTCTCATCTTACAAGATTTCTTTATAGCTCTGTGGTTTTTCACCATTTGTCTGTACAATGTCCGGTTTTCCTGCATTTGACACTCTGTCACTTTTCAAGAAATTGACATTCTTCCGCTTCCGCATCCTGCACCTCTGACTCATGTCTCCACGCCTGAGTAAATCTATAGTCATATATAGTGTGTCAGTTTTCTTACCCCGAGCTAGTACTAATGGTATTTTGGTAACATTTAAGGTGCTATCTGAGAAAACTACCGAATGATCACCCTCATTTAGTTTTACAACAGAGGTGAGGTTTTTTTTCAACTTAGAATCGTGTCTAACCTTTTGCAAAGTTCATTTGCTCTTGTTAGAGAGCGCAATATCAATGTCTCTCATTCCCACCACGTCCAGAGTTTTTCCATCAGCCCGATATACCTTTCCAAATTTACCTGCAACATAATTTCGCATTAACTCAAGACAGGAAGATGTATGGAAGGAAGCCCCTGAGTATCCAGTCATCAATAAAACTGTGAACTGTTAGCAATAGCGCATCCTGTATTTCTTCAGTTACAATATTAGTGTCATCATTTTCTTTCTTCTTAGGATTCCTGCAGTTTTTTTTTATGCGGTCAGTCTTGCTACAATTCCAGCAGATTGCCTGCTGACCAGACTTTGATTTTGATCTTCCTCTGTTTGAGTTCCTGTCATGTGATCTTCATCTGGAATCATCTGGAATCAACATTTTAGCGCTGAACTTGAACACGAGGTCTCGCCAGAAATCTTTCTGCGCACCTCTTCAGCCAAAATCAAACCACGGATATCATCATATTTTAGCTTAGATTTACTTGCGAAACTGCTAATTGACATCCTCATGATCCCAGCTATTTGACAACAAAACCAACAATATCAACGCATGTATCTTATCATCAAAATCAATTCAACAGATGACAACTGATTTATGATAGTGTCGAAATCATTAAGGTGTTGAGCAACAGAAACACATTCTGCTATCTTCAAGTTAAATAACATTTTCATCAGGTGCACCTTGTTAGTCGCCGATGACTTTTCAGACATACCTGATAAAGCTGTCACGAGACCTGCAGTAGTCCTTTTCTTGATGACGTTGTCGGCAACCGATCTCGACAGGGTTAATCGAATAATCCCAAGAACTCATCGATCCAACAGATTTAATTCCGCCTCGTCCATCTTTTCCGGTCATTTTCCTAGTAACGGAAGATTAAGTTTCTTCTCATAGAGGTAGTTCTCTATCTGCATCCTCCAGTAAGCAAAATTTGTGTCATTGAACTTCTCGATCCCCAATGTCATTACTTTGTCTCCGTTCATCATTCTTTCTCAGGTCCGAACCACCTAAGTCTCTGATACCAGTTGTGAAAAACAACGAAAATAAAATGAAAAATGGAACGAGAAAAGTTGCATACAGAAAAAACACCAGAGCTACACAGATTTAAGTGGTTCGGTAAATTTGCCTACGTCCACGGAGCTGCAGAGGGTTTTATTTCTTCGAGTAATTACACCGTCAAACGTCTTGACGTTTACAAGAAAATCTCTATTTTTTTCTCTCAATTCCTCTCTTTCTCTCTTCCTCTCTTTCTCTCTTAGAGGACTTGGTTTGGCCTGACTTAGCTTATTTATGACAAGTCATAAGAGACTATTTATAGAAACTAGGAGAGCGATAGGTGAGAGGTAGGTGAACGGTAGGTGGGATGTATGTGAGATTTTTAATTAGGAAACTAATTAAATTATGGTGGACCAGATTTTCACATTACCCAATAATTTGTTCTATATCATAGCTTAACTTACCTATTGTAAAAATAATTTTGCCGGCCATGGTGGAAAGATTCACTGTTTGTGTGATTATTGCTCTAAACTGAATTGTTGTGATATTTTTGCAGCCTCAAGTGGCTTCAGCTACTGTGTACTTTGAGAAGGCGATTGCAGTTGTTTGGGCTGTACCTGAAGCAAAGGACACAGAAAACTGGCAGCAGCAGCTAGGACAGAAACTTGCAAGCCACCTAACGACTTGTGGATTCAAATCTGAGTTTCACGGTAAATTGTAGCAGAGGATACTGCCTTTAGATGGTTACTGTTCTTCGATCATTTTTAATTTGTAAATGGTGATTTTCACTTTCATAATTCACATTCTGAAATAGCATGCATAGTAGAACTACAGCCTAATCACTTTCATAATACCACCCACTTCCTGTGTATTTACTTATATGATACCTAAACTTTATTTTTTTTACATTTATATCACTCAAATCTTTCATAGCATGTAAAAATGATCACTATTTTAACTTTTGAAAAGTGAAATACATCTTGTCAAGCATAAATAAGGTGGCATATATGTAAAAATTGAATTTTTGGTTTTAGATATGTAAATACATAGGCATTAAATGGTATGTATGAAAATTTTCCTTTATATTTTATATGGCACTTGTTTGTACAGTTAACTGTTGGTTTATATAACTACTTTTTTTGTTTAACACTTGAAGTATTGAATGCCAATATCAATACTGCAAATCTTAGAATTTATAAAATGTGAGGTGTGAAATTCCATTTATCAGCGGACAATACCTTCTGAGAGGTGTGTTTTATTTTGTTCCATGTTTTCTTTAACAAATTTGTCTACTTTTAAGTGTGAAGCGTTGATTTCTTCGTACTGGCAGAAGTTATCCAAAACCTACTCTATGGAAGCCGATGCTCATCAGTTTTTCCTTCCTAAGAATTAGTTTTATTTGAATGTTATCCAGCATCAAATGCAATTACATTACAACAAGTTTATGGCAACTGAATATCTATTATAGGTTTGAATTCTTCTCTTTTTCACATAACAAAAGGGAAGATGTAAAACTAATTATTGATGATACATATGAGGCGTTGTGAAGTAAAAATAAATAGTGGCGATGCTAACAGCGTGTGAGGGTAGATTGAACGTTTTAATATCATATCATGTGACGGATACCTTTAGACCAAAAAGTTAAGAACTAAAATGAATTGGTGAGTATGTTTTAAGTTGTGATGATACTCTTTAGATGTGTAAGAAATCTACGAACTTTGATATGATTTCCTTATTAAATTTAATCAGAGGCATTCTTGTTGAAATTGAGTAAAACTTCACAACGACATGTGGGCTTCCTTGATATTGAATTCATACTTTGTGAGCTGAAGTCAATCAAAAAGTTGTCACACCAGGAAAACTATTGTGGAGGGTGGATGAGGTTTTTGCTTTTAGCTTTGAACAAATTAATTTTATTTGAAATAGTGATTTGGAACTTATACTTAATGTTGGTTTAAAGTTACGATCGATATTTTTAGTCAACATGACCATCATCGAGGATTTTGGTTGTTTGATTTGAATCTTGTCGAGTTTACATCTTGCTTCTAAAGGATCAGATTTAATATTAACACATAATTGTATATGAACATTATCAACTTTTTCATGCTTGCAGATGATAGAGTTCATATATTTATATAGTATTTGAACTTATTCAAATAGACTTCGAAACTTAGTTTTTAAAATGAATCCCCCGTTTTAATTTTTTTATCAATTCGGTCATCATCAGGGATTTAAATATTTAAAGCTTTTGTTTTTGAATGACATTTGAGTTTGCAAGTTTAGTTTTTTTAGGATATAAGTCATGTCGACTAATGTTCTTATAAGGAATATCGAATTAAGTGATTTGAACTTATAATTTCTTTTTTATATGATTTGGATATTATTAAAATTAACTAGACTCATCAACTTCAGTCCTTAATAGGAGGATCAGACCAATTGGGTAGTACTTAAAACCTTGTCCTCTAGACAGGGCGACCAGATTGAGAGATTACATAACTTAATTGTCTTCAATTTGATTTCACCAAAAATATTTTATAATTTTGAAATATATGTAGACTCTTTGAAAAGAAATTCTGGACATTTTTCAAAAATAAGAGTGACTTGGGTGAAAATATCTTATTTTAACCCGCACAACATTCTCAGACCGTTCCATTTAAAATGCTTAGGCCCTGTTTGGGATTACATTTTGTTTTCTGTTTTTCGTTTTTGAAAACAAAAAACAGAAAACAAATCCAAAAATTGTGTTTCTTTATTATTTTTTAAAAATTTTATTTTTAAAACACGAGTTTGTTTTTAAAACATCAAAACCACAAAAATTGTGTTTTCACTGTTTTTAAAATCATGTTTTTCGAAGCATTACATGTGCAAGACTCTGCCTTCTGTTGCCTCCTCTCGCTCCCTGCCGCCCTCCAGCCACCAGTCCCCACCTACCGCCATCGCTGCCGGCCCCCATTTGCTACCCGCCTCTCACCGACCCTCGCCCCCCCCTGCCTCCCGCCCCCCACACTCGCGCGCGCACGTCCCCCGCCCGCCCCTGTCTCCCGCCTCAACCAATCCCCCGTCGGCCCTTGCTTCTTGCCACACGCCGCTCGTCGCCAGCCGTCGCCCTCCTCTACCACTCGCCCTTCAGCCCTGTCCAACGTTGTTTGCCGCTGCCCGCTGCCTGCCCTCCTTCCGCTCGGCGCAGTGCTCACAAGTAATGCTTCGTGCTGGGTGGAGCAAGGAATACATCGTATATGTCATGGGCAGCGGAGCTTAATACCGAAGTACTAAATGGACTCAATCATTTTATAAAGAGTATAGCTTTTTATTTAAAAAAAATAAAAAATACACAACCAAACATGTTTTATATTTTTTATTTTTTATTTTTAAAAACATATAAACCCTGACAGTACCAAACACGTTTTTAAAAATAAAAAATTAAAAAAAAATAAAATAAAATAAAACTGACTAAAAACAAAATTAAAATTAAAAAAAAAAGTGATCCCAAACAGACCCTTAATTTGTTTAGATGGAGAAAATGCGGGTTTTCAATTTTGAGTTTATATATATATATATATATATATATATATATATA